AAACAGTGCTCGATACAACTGTAGAGCATAATATTACAAATTCTTATTTTAGATTCTTAGCATTGAACTTTGTATTTTAAGTTTTAATTTTTATGACTGAATTTGAATGGAAGTTCCAGTTTTGAAACCTGGGAATTTCAGTGTTGCAATGATAATATATTTAAAAAAGAAACAATTATATATATATATATATATATATATATATATATATATATATATATATATATATATATATTCTAAATAAATAAACTGCAAATTCTGTCTGTCCATCCAAATGTCTGAAATACCCAGGCCACACTTGTTCTACATAGATGTATTATACCTTTTTGGAATCAGGAAGAAAATCTGCCCTTCATCTGATGCTTGAACATCCAGAATTGGGATTTGTATCTGGATGCGGAGGGAACAGTTAAAAATTCAAATTTAAAAATAACTGAAAAAAATTAGTCATTTTAAGTTTTTAATTTATATTGAGTAACACAAAATCTTTGTAAATTTAAAAATTTTTGTTTTAAATTTCATTTAAAATATCTCCAAAACCATGAATTGAGGAAATCAATTTTATTTCTCCAAAATGCCAAGGAATAGGAGCTAAAGTGAGAGGTTTCATGAAATAAGGTTTTGAAGTTCTGCAGAGTTTGTAATTTGAAGAACTCATTTTTCAGTCTGAATTGGAGTTTTGGCTCAAATCAGTCTTTGGGCTGAATCAGAGTTAAAGTGAAGTTTTGGAAATCCATGGAGTGAATTGGAGATTCAAAGTTATTTCTTCAAAATTATCATTGCTGTTTTCTAAGTTCGACCAGAGGTCCCTTTAGTTTTGAGCGAGAATCCCAATTAGCCCTCTGTAGGAACTTGCTTAAAATTTCACATGGAATGTGGCTTTTAAGCTAGTGTATGTGTAATATATGTGTGTTTGTGTGTAAATCTCTAAATCCTTCCTCATGTTAAATCTGGAAAACATAGTCAGTGTCACATTAAGTCATGTTAAGTTGTGCTTTTTCCAGATGCCATTCCATCCATATTAGCATCAACTCTCTTTGTTCACTATGTATCATGTATTTTCTTTCTCCATTGCAGCTCAGTTTCCATGTTTTTAATTTTGATCTTAAATGAAGCCAGTTTTTATTCAAACACCTAATTGGTCTTTACTCTCTCTTGTGAAGTCTCTTGTTTTATTTCTATTGTTCTATGATGACCTGAATTTTTGTGTTATCTGCTTGGTGACATTATTCCCCCCACACATGCACACACAAAAGAAATAATGTCTACACTGACAAATACGTAAGATTTTCCATTAGAACATCTTGAAAACTGCTGTAGCATTACCACCATCCTTTTCTGCAGAAAATTTAAGGGATAAAAAAAAAAAAAACTGAAAAAGATTTCAGACTAAAAGCATGTTGCCCTCCTTTTCAATTGATTCATTTTCAATTAAAAAAAAAAAAAAAAATCACATGCCTATAAAAATATCCATTTATGCATTTTTATGTAGAATGTAATTTTTTTCTTTCTCAGACTGTCTTGGTTTCTATTTTAAGATTTGTTTCCGCCATCTTGACATGTCTTAGAGCTTGAATAAAAAATTTTGTGTTCAAGAATTGTAACCAAGTGATGTGATTAAAGTGGGTAGCAACATGTCATATGGGTTAATTTTCTCATTTCATGCATATTATTGTATTTTAACTGACTGTTTCTTTAAACAGCTGGTAACTGATTTTGATTTTTGTGTTACAAAAGTTTTCCTTTTGTTTTTTGTCATAGAATACAAACTTATTCAGTTTCTTGTTTTAATTGGCTGTCAATATTATTTATGATAAGGATATTTTAACAAAAACAATTAAATTATATATTTTATTCATTCATCATTAATCCTCTAAAAAAATATCTTTTTAAAATTGTTGATAACATTAGCTGAATGAATGCTACTCAAAATGAAAAATGAGTTACATGCTTTTATGTTACATGACTTTAAATGAAATTATCTGTTTGATAAATAAGTTATTTCAAGCTTTGTCATTAATTACAATATATGTACAATGCTTCTGGTTATATATTTCAATAGGATTAAGCAACGACAACCAAAGGATGTGGATTATGAAAAGTAAAAAAAAATTGCTGAATTTCTCATTAATTATTAATCTTTTAACACCATAAAGAAGTAGAAATCTTAATTATATGTATATATTGTTACTATAATTAAAATCAGTAACTCTTTGTTATCAGAGGAAGCACCATTGTTAGGTTTGCTTAATCTGACATTGCATTCCAGCATTACTCACAGGTTTGTGTTTTGGGCCATATTTGTGACTGAATGGAATAGATAAAAATTTTATTCCAATTAAACCTGTATGTTAAAATATTTTCTCTGTAAGAAGATCTTTTGAGGAAATATTGACAATTTTACAAAATTAATCTGTGGGTTGGTTGTAAGTCAACTTGTAATGCTATGTGTTTTTTTTATGGAAGTATAAAAATACTGAAATTCTTATGCACACAGTTAATATATAGAACCAACAATAGATCTATGGATAGTAAAGTAAAAATACAATAGATTGTGTTTTGTGGGTAATTATAAGAAGCATTATGTATATTGTAAATGCTCAAATGTGTTTATATTCTGATTAAATCAATTTATTTAGTTATTTTCACTTAATATTACAACTATTCAGCTGATTAATGAAGCATGATTATCTAAAGTTAAAGTGTTTGAAAGGGAGTTGGATTGAAGTCTTAGAATTAAAAAGGGTTGGATGGTTAGAAATTGGAGACAATTACTTAAGAAATCCAGGAATTGTTCCACTTAGTTTCAGCATTGTTGCATCTTTGGACAATGCTTACATTTATTTTTATTTGATAGAATAATTTAGCTTGTAGTGGGCCCCTTGTAGGGAGCATGATATAAAATGGCCTGTGTGCTCCAAATAGGGATAGATGTCACAAGAGGCCCACTAACACTTTAAAAATAAAAACGTGAAATCTGACAGGTCAACAAGAGGATCACAAATAACAAATTTAAGATTAATGCAAAATTTATTTATATTGGATACAATAGTAGTGAGATTCATTTAAAGAAACATGAGCAAAATAAGAATCAAGTAATGAAGGCAGAATTGAATAAATTGGGGAATACACACTGGCTAGAAGGTCTAGATAATATATCTGTGATTACTAAAAGTACAGTCCATGTAAGTTCACATTTGGTGAAAGTGTTGAAAAGTTGCTGGTTAAGTTCAATGATGAACCTTCCATAGTATTTTAACCAAAGTGTATGGAGTAAGTCTGGACGATATAGCTAAAGAGAAGAAAGTTCCATTTAAATGTCTGGTGCTGGCATTGAGTAGTTGCTGGTCAAATCCAGTGGCTGGTGCTGGCATTGTTGGTGTTGCATAGTTGCTGGTCAAGTCCAATAGTGAATCTTCCGTAGTATTTTAACTGAAGTGTATGGAATAGGTTATTTATGCAGCAATTTCCTAAACCAGGTGAATTAGGTTGACAGGTTGGGACCATGGTCAAGTCAGTAGTTCAGAGCCATTGTAAGCAGGTCCATTAATGCAGATCAACCAAGTGAGTTAGGTCGAGATAAGGGCTAGAAGTAATGAAGGCCTGGAATTTCAGAAGATAAAGGTTACGAAGTAGGTTGTTTGAGTTTGGGTGATATGCATGCAGCAATTTCCTAAACCAGGTGAGTTAGGTTGACATGAAAGCCGGAAGCAAGGACCTAGTGTAGCTGGAAGTAAAGGGTTGTTGTAAGCAGGTCCGTTAATGTGAAACAACAAAGTGAGTTAGGTTGAGATAGTGATGCCAGAAGTTCAGGGCTGTGGTAGCCAGAAGTAAGGGTCAGTGGTAGCTGGAAGTAGTAAAGGCTAGGAATGCCAGAAGTAAGATACCTGAAGATAAGGGCCTGTGGTTACTGGAAATAATAAAGGGCAAGAGTGCCGGCAGTAAGGAAAGCCCAACTAGCATCCAGTTTGCAGACAAAAGCTTCCAGGTTATACAGAAAGGGGGTGTAAAAATTAACTGGTCCTGCAAAATACTACAAAATCTAAAGAAAAATTAACTGAGATGTGCTACAAAATATAAAAATGTTCACAAAGTGTATTCTAACTAAGTTTGTAACACTGAAAGAGCTACAAAGGCTTATTATGAAATTAAATGAATTTAAATTGAAGGGTGTGTGGCAATGCAATGAAGAAAAAGTCAAGGTCATGAAGACATGATATCAGCCCTTGGTCACATGGACAGAATAGCAAAGAGCTACAATAAGCTGAAAGGTGATTTTGAATACATTCTGGAATGATGACAGTACTTCATCTCAGAACTTTAGCTAAGATTTGTATATTAAAAAGAAATCAATGAATTCTGGAAATGTAGACCTCTAATTATTGTTCGTCATAGATCTGCATGTGAAATTTTAATATTCAAAAGATTGTATTGATCTTTAAATTGATCAAATCTAGTAGACATTGTTTTTGTTATTAATAGCCTTTCTTTTGACAATTAAAAAAGAAAATATCATTAACAAATCTAATTAATGGCATTTTCAAATTTTTGATTTAAATTAGTGCCACCATTGTTAATTTTGACTTGCTGATCAGTTTAACATGTAATATTTCTCAAAATATACTATTACTATCAAATTCATTGTTAAAGTTTATATTTTATTTAATAAATCTTTGTTATGAAATTCCCAAGCTATCCTAGAAATCACTTTCTAACAGTTAATAAGGTCATAACATACCAATGTGACATTGTATTGATCTTATAATTTAAAGACAGTTAAGGTGATCATGATTTATATGGATGAGTGAAATTCATTGTTGTTGATGACATGTAGAATTCTACTGTATGTTTGACTGTGTAACTCTCAGCTGTGAATTTTGGCTGGCAACTTTTTTTATTGAGAATTACACTTGCATCAAAACAGAAGAAAATTGTTTTGCTCTTAAATTTCTTTCTTTAAATGTTGATTTAACGTTTTTTTTTATGATTTGTGTTTGTAGGAGCCACATTATGTTCGTTGCATCAAGCCAAATGATGTCAAGTCACCTGTGCATTTTGATAATGAAAGAGTTCGTCACCAAGTCATGTATTTGGGATTAATGGAAAATGTCAGAGTTCGGAGAGCAGGATTTGCATTTCGGATGACCTTTGAAAGATTTCTAAACAGGTAAATATTGCCAAAATCTTTAGTGTTAAGTACCTTTAGTGCAGACTAAAAGTAGTCTATCATCTGTTTTCATGTTAGGCATTTTTTCTTCAAACACTTTCAATTTTCTTATTTTTCAAAGTTGTATTCTGTTATTCCAAATGAGTTGGTAGCCTTTACCCCCATTTTTTATATATGATCAGCTATGCCTGATTTCATAGCTGTCTATGGATTTTAACTTTTTTAAAAAAAAATTTTCTTCAAGCATTACTTTTAGGGGTAATCTAGTCTTGTCTTTATATTCCCTGCCTCAACTGCAGTGAATAGTGTACATATTGTTCTTGGTTATGTTCTCATCTGATGAAAGCTTGACTTTGGTGAGATGTTTTGAGAATAGAACTGCATTTGACTAATGTCATTTTGTCATATGGACTATAAATGCAATGAATGTTTTTTAATATATGTCTGATATAAGATAGACTGAATATGAAGAAGTTTCTAAAGTATAATGGTCAAAACATTGTGACAATGCCAATGAAAATGAGAACACTTAATATTATATTGTAATATATAATATTAATATTTTAGTGTTTTCTAAAAATAGGAATGAAACAAAGATGGGTATTCCAGAGTTAGACTAGAAAGTATTTTGTGGACTCAAATTGTGAAAATACAAATAAGTTGTTTTTAAACAAATTCCATTAAATCAGTTTGGAATGATAGAAGAATATAACTTTGAAAATGCTTTGTAAAGTGAAGAAATGTTGATGTTTATTGTCTGTATATATGAGATACATAATTTATCTTCATTCTGTTTTTATTTCATGGAAGTGAACTTCATAATGTTTAGAGATGATGTGTTGATTACATAATAAATTAATAACACCTTTTCAGGAATATCTTAGTTGTAGTTTCATGTTTATTTTTTTTCTAGGTACAAATGTATTTGTCCAGCAACCTGGCCAGTATATCATGGTTCTTGCGTAAATGGTGTCCGTGAAATTGTGTCACAACAGAAAGTTGAAAAAGATGTGGAATATGGAAAAACAAAAATCTTTGTACGCAGTCCACAAACTCTGTTTAATTTGGAGGCTGAAAGAGAACGGGCTATTCCATCATTAGTTATCTTATTACAGAAGGTGAGAGATTAATAATTTAATTATATTGATTTTACAAGCTTGTTAATGTACTGACTGCTATATAGCAAGATTATGTTAATACCTTTAAACACCTTGGAAATTTGTCTTATTGAAGTGTTAATATTTGACCAGCATGTAGCCATATCACATCATACAATTACTGAAGTTGAGCAATGTCAAACCTGGTAAGTACCTAGATGAGTGACCATTTGGGAATACTAGGTGCTGTAAGCTTGGAAGTGTGGATGGTGTAATGGATAATGGCTCAGAATTGTAACTTGGCTTTCTGATTTCCAATTCCAGTGAGGTTCGTTATACTCACTTGCAACCAAATATCCTTGGGAAAGGTATGAATCCACCTCTTCTCCCCTAGCTATGGGTTATTTAATATGACTTGTATCAGTAAAATCATTATTGCCTAAAAATTCTTACGATCAAAAAATATTTTCTAGTTTTAAATAACCTGCAATAGGTTGATAAGCTGTAAAAAAAAAAACAAATCACTCAATATTTGACCAATAAACAATGTTAATGTGTATTCAAATCATTTTTAGAAAATTTGATTCAAACTTATAGTGATTAATATAATATTAAATCTTTAAATAAAAGACATTGTTGCTTTTATTCCTGCTAGTTGTTACCCAGTAATTTTCCTAATTCACAATTATCTGGTTAAAATATGAACAGTTTAACATTCTCTTTCTTGAGAAAAAGAATTGAGATGAAAATATGCTGAGGTTTTGAGTCACTATATTGAAAATAAACAAAAGAAGCTTGAATATTTTTTTAACATTTCATGTATGAATTGCTTTTTATTAAATTATCAAATATTCAACTTGTTTTCTTTTTAATGTCTTATCTGTTTAGTGAAGTGTTTCTCAACTGGTGTTCCCTGGAACATTAAGTTTCTGAAAGAGGTCACTAGGGATTCTACAAGAAGCAGTGATAAATTGGCTAATACATTTTTGAGTCATTTTTGTTTCCTTTTATATTTGTAATTTTTTCTATACACGTATGTCATATTATTGGAAAATCTTTTCTTATTATAATAGAATATAAAAGAGTTATTTTGAATACATTCTGGAATGATGACAGTACTTCATCTCAGAACTTTAGCTAAGATCTGTATATTAAAAAGAAATCAATGAATTAAATTAGTGCCACCATTGTTAATTTTGACTTGCTGATCAGTTTAACATGTAATATTTCTCAAAATATACTATTACTATCAAATTCATTGTTAAAGTTTATATTTTATTTAATAAATTTAATAAATCTTTATGAAATTCCCAAGCTATCCTAGAAATCACTTTCTAACAGTTAATAAGGTCATAACATACCAATGTGACATTGTATTTTTCTTATAATTTGAAGACAGTTAAGGTGATCATGATGATTTATATGGATGAGTGAAATTCATTGTTGTTGATGACATGTAGAATTCTACTGTATGTTTGACTGTTTAACTTTCAGCTGTGAATTTTGGCTGGCAACTTTTTCTATTGAGAATTACACTTGCATCAAAACAGAAGAAAATTGTTTTGCTCTTAAATTTCTTTCTTTAAATGTTGATTTAACATTTTCTTCTGTTATGATTGTGTTTGTTGCATATAATAATTTTATGCAGGCATTTAATAACTATTTTAAAAGTTCCAAAAGGGTAAAAGATTTTTTTTTTGCATTCGTGTTGCATTCGTCTGTTGGTGATCATGGCTCTTTCCAAATTCCTGTATTATTTATGAATTGCCATGCATTCTTGGGAAAGATAGTGGAGTAGTTTTTCATTGCCTTCTCCATGATTTTACATTCACAGTAGTTCTTCTTTTAGACTACTATCCAAAGCTTGAGAACCCAGAATACTCTGATATTATCAAGCACTCATATCTGGGAGAAGAGATGAAATTTATGCCTTTCCCAAAGGACATTAGCGTGAAAATGAATGCAGCACAGGATTTGAACTCAGCTTGTTACACGGAGATTTGAACTCTGCTTGTTAGGCAGGGATTTGAACTCTAGGCAGGATTTGTTTGTTAGGGATTTGAACTCTGCTTGTTAGGCAGGGATTTGAACTCTGCTTGTTAGGCAGGGATTTGAACTCTGCTTGTTAGGCAGGGATTTGAACTCTGCTTGTTAGGCAGGGATTTGAACTCTGCTTGTTAGGCAGGGATTTGAAGGCAGGGATTTGAACTCTGCTTGTTAGGCAGGGATTTGAACTCTGCTTGTTAGGCAGGGATTTGAACTCTGCTTGTTAGGCAGGGATTTGAACTCTGCTTACTGATTCCACTTTCTGTACAGATAACCATTATACAAACCCACATATTCTATAAATGATCAAATATTTTCTTTATATATGAAATTGCTTTTAATGTCAATGTTTCCTTCATATTAAGATATGAATATGTAGGAAAAAGTGTGTAAAATTGTGTTTTTTTTTCTCTGGCTTGTTAGCAATTACTGCAATCCGCTTACTTTAGTCACTTCCTCTGCGTCTCCTACTCGGTATAGCTGTAACCATTTGTTCAACAACTTATTGGCTGCCCTCATGTTTACACATGCCTTTCCAGTCAAATTGTCTGATATCCAGCGATGAATGCATGCAGAGTTGGTAACCAGGTAAAAGACTGTCATCTGACATTGGAGGGGTAGATTAATGCCTTTTATCATTGTATCAAATTCTGCTAAATTAATATGTTTAGCATTTCTTGTGGGATTCATCCAACAAGCATCCTCAACATTGCCCCCCATTCACTTCCAATGTCAGTCTAGTGGCCAAAGAATTGGCATCCATTCATACCTTCATTACATAGCCACTGAATAATTATTTTATTTTTCAGTATCTTTCTCATCATTTTACAGTTGAAATGACTTGGTATAACCATAAGTTCTATGCTATCAGTTTCTTCTCTCACACTTCTTGCTTGTGGGACACACTACTAACCTCTTCCTTTCCAGTCTTGCTTGTGGTGAAATGATTAAAAAAAAAGATTTGTGTGTGTGTATAGTTAATGCCTAATTTATGCTTCTGTTTCACAGATGTGGCGGGGAACATTGGCACGGAAACAAGTAAAGAAGACAAGAGCAGGTCTTTTGATTCTGAAGACTTATCGTGAATACAAAACGCGTGTTTATGTTAACACCTTATTACATCTCTTCAGGTGAGCTTACTTTGATGTTTCCCTCCAAATTTTGATCAGAATCCTTTGTTCCTTTCTTTTCATCCTTTTGGTGACATATCCAATTTCTTATTTTGGGACTCAGCCTTTTTCTTTTGGTAAATTTGTATCATAATCCTTCATTTCAAGATCCAAGCTTGATTTTTTTTTTATAACATAGCTTTGTTCTCTCATTGGTTTTTGGAAACTGCAATAACAGTAGCCTGATGAAAATTCTTGAAGGTTATCAAGTGCAGTCACCACTGGTGGGGAAAAAAACTGTGTCAGCTGAAATATTAGGATTAAAATGATAAAGATGAGGATACTGGTTCAAATGATTGATGGCATAATCACACAATTTCATTACAGAATTTCAAATAACATGAGAAGTCAAATTTCTAATTCTATGTCAAAAGAAATTTGAGTTTTTCCCTGAAAACTGATTATTTTCGACTTTCTTTATAAATATTCATCCACTTACGAAATGTTCTCATGCTTGAAACAAAAAAACCCCCCAAAAAACCCATGGGTGCTAAATCTGGTGGGTATTGATAAAGTGGAAGCACCTCCCACTTGAACAATCTTATTTTTTCTTGGATTTGTTTTATAGAGTATGTCCTTGCATCATTATGATGGACGATAAAATCTTTTCTGTTCAGCAAAGCAAGATAATTTTGATGTAATATTTGACTTACTTGATGAAATTACTGGCAATAAATATCTTCCAGTATCTCATAATGGATAACTCTCTTCATATTCAAACAAAAAGCAAAGACTTCTTTTGATGGAGTTTTGGTGTTAGCAATGGTTTCTCATTTTCTCATAACTACTGTCTTCATCTATTGACATGCAAAACCCATTTTTCATCATCTGTAGTGTTTGCAAAACTGAAAGATTGGCATTCCAGATCTGAAAGATTGGTTCTTGGATGGTTGAATTGGTGGTTCTCAAGTGAAAGCGCAAGATTCCCTCTTACCAATTTTCCCAATTAAACTGAAATTTAAGTTATGCTTTTGGCATGTGTAAAAAAATGTCTACTTTCTAAACCATTAAAAATAAAAATATTTAAAGAAAGCTCACATGAAGTTAAAATCGCATTGTATCAGCAGCTTGATCTCCCTTACTTACTAATGAGATATTCTGTTGTTAACATTGGGAAATGTTCACTAATTGCCTTTGAGTAATGCCTCCTGTTTTCATTGCAAAAAAATTCAAGATGTGTGACTAGTAAATATATAAAGTCATATTGTTTTATAGAATCTGTCAGTATGTATACTTTGTATGATTATTTACAGATGAGATTCATTTTTATTTGGTTTAGTAAAATCACAGTGGGTATGTTTGTGTTTTTTTTTTTTTTTGAACTGATTTACTAATTGAAGTTTTAAATACAAGGATTTAGATTTCTGAAATTGAATTAATAAGCTTGATATTTTTATATGGAAGTCAATGAATTCAAAATGATGTTATTCAAAAATAATATCTATTTATTATGTTATCAATGTAATGATAAAATGACTTATATTACTTGTTTTACTAATTCTCTTTTTTTCCTTTTGTTAAGAAATGTAAAGAGAAAGAAGGATTATGGGAAGAGTTTGAAATGGCCGACTGCTCCTTTTGGTTTAGAGACATTTGGATTATCTCTCCATAAAACTTACCAAAGGTGAATCAACATTTATTATTGAATTTTCCTCAATCTATTTGGGGCTTATCCGGTGAGTAAGGAATGGAAAGGTGGGTGTGTAATTCTCAACTTCATATTTAAATAAGAGATGTAATTGTAATATCTAAATTTGTTACAAAAACTATTATCATTATAATGATGTTTTTCTTATTATATTGGATTATTAATATTAATAACATATATTCATATAATGATATCCTCCTCTTATAAATTATTATATTGTTATTAGTATTAAAAGATAATTTGCTGATAATAGCTAAGAACATTAGTTTGTATGTCTTTGAAAAGACATATCATTCCCAAACCTTCTATTTACAGGTGGTGCGCATGGATGAAAATTCAAACAATCCCAAAGGATGAACGTGCAATGTTCCACACAAAAATATTAACTGCTGAAATGCTAAAAGGTAGACGTTGTGAGTGGGGCTATCGACGCAAGTGGGACGGTAATTACTTGATGCAGGTAATAAAATTAAATTGTCCGTTTTTTAAATTATAAAATATTATTGTACATTAAAATCAAAAAATGCCATTTGTGATGTAATTTTCATGTGTAAATGTCATCTTTTCTTGCTTCTGGTTTTTCTTGTTAGGATTTCTATTTTTATAAGTTATAAGCTTAAAATTTTTTTTTTACTCTTTCACTTATCTATCTTTAATCTACTTACATTTCTTTATTTAATAACAATAAACTATATGAAAAACTTATGAAGATAATTCAGTTTTTTTGCATAAACCCCTAACTCACTTTGACATCTCTCACATACTTTTAGGGGTTTAATACATGTGGTGGCAGGTATAATCAATTTTATTTGATTGTTCAAAATATGTAATTATCACCAAGGCAAAAGGAATTATTCTTTAAGCATAAAAGAATATTTAAATATGTATATAGCATATAAAAGGGGTTGAATTTGTAGAAGTGTAATTCAAAGTTAATTTAAAGTATAAAGAAAAATAAGAGATTTTTGAAATGGGCTTTTATTACAGAAACCAATTAAAAAATCAATTTTCTCTTGTTTGATTTTTAGATGAAAATTCAGTTGAAAATATTTTTGAAAAGAATAAAAGTTAGAATGATTGTAATATAATGTTATAAATAATGCTAGTATTGGTAATTATAGAAAAATATAATTTATTCCTTCCAAATGATGTAATGGAAAATTAAACTGATTTTGCCACATGCTAATTTAATTTATATGTCTTAATTATTTTCTCCAATTAATTATTTCTTCCTAAAACTCATTTATACCATCTTTCCATTCCTGGCAAAAATATATCTTTGTGCTGGGAAACACTTCACTCCCAAACAGTTCCTTCTTTTGCACTTCTCTCTTGTGGAACTCTATTCCAGTTTCTTACTTTCTAGTAAATTTTGATCTTCAAAAATTCAAATGCAATGTGTCATTTTTTTTCTGTCTTAATTCCTGTTCTTTTATTGTTCTCTCTTCTTAATGTGTTTTCTTTTTCTCACTCTTAGTGACTTTATTGCCTTGCTTGGGGTGAAATTAAAAAAAAATCCTAAATATTTCAGACCCTATAGTTTCATGGGATGACATTTTAATTTATTTTTTTATCATAATTTTTTACAAGTGAGTGGTGAAAAAGTTTTAACCTGACCCACCTTAAATTTTCACCAAACATAATAATCTAATTTGGGATCCCTTCTTAGTTAAGCTGAAAATTTTTCAGCATTTTCTAAAATTGGGCTTACAGTTTCCTTGAAGGGATTTCAGGGCATAAGAAATGCTCTAATAGATTCCTTAAACTAATGATATTGTATGTGTTTGGTGTTGTGATTTTCTTTTATTTCTCTTTGATAGACTCAAGATAATCCCAATACTGCTGATTATGTTTCAAGAATGAATTCTTTGAAGAGCAAAGACAATTTCACTGCAATTCTCTTCTCATCAATGGTAAAGAAAGTATGTATAAATGTTCTATCGTTTCTTATTTTTCTATATATTTCAATTCAGGACATACGTTTAAGAATATACTTTTTATAATGCATTTTCACAATATATTTTATGTATTCTCATTATGTAATAAAATTTAAAATAGAGAACTCTTATGTATGTAATGATAATATATATATATATATATATATATATATATATATATATATATATATATACTCATAATGTAATGTCCCATTAGTATGCAGCCATAGTGGTAGTGGTGTGTCTTGGACAAGATAGCCTCAGTGAGCCCATCACTCTTCGGGTTGGTTTTGAATTCATTAGAGAACCCAATCATCTGTTGTTTAACCCATAATAGGGGAGAAACCCAATTCAGATCTTTCCTAAGGGTATTTGTGTGAAAGTAAATTTATGAACTTGGCTAGAATTCAAAATTGCTTTGTCGATTTCTCTTTCTGAGTTACTAACATTTACAATACCTGCCTGTTATATTTGTCATTGTTCTGTTGCTGTTAGATTATGGTCTTCCCTCATAAATTGGTAGGTTCTTGTTAGCAGCAGCATGTTTTTCTCCACAGTTCTTAATGGAGTCAACCTCTCAGTTCCATATAAATCGTGCCCATTTCTCTTTGAAGTAGAAACTACCACATGCCTAGAGAACCCTTGTCTTTCTAAACCATGGGTTATTAAACTGCCCATCTCTCTCTTTCTTTCTCTCTCTCATATATATCAAGCATTATTCATGATCTTTTGTTTGCTGATGATACTGCGATCATGGCCACTTCAATCAAAGAAGCTCAAGCATTCATCAATCGCTTTTCCACCACTTGCAATGCATTCATACTAACTATAAGCATAAAGAAAACTGAAGTTGTCCATCAACCAAGGCCTACTTCTAAGCAGGTCAAGGGTGTAAAACAAAAACCACCTGCCCATACCTTTCCATTCATTCCGATTACTGTTGGCAAGTAAGTATGTGAAATCATTCTTGTACTTAGGAAGCAAAGTCAATTCAAATGCCTCTTTGGATGATGAAATAGTTAACCAAATATCAAAGGCAACCAATACCTTTGGGAAGCTTAAGCGTCACCTATGGGATGTTCATGGGATTTCATTGAAAATGAAAATCAGTGTCTATCGAGCAGTCATTCCCACCACACTTCCTTATAGGTCAGAATCATGGGAGCTATAAACTCAATGCACATCAATTAACTTGATGCTTTTAATAAATGCTGTCTTCGTTCATATATGCAGTTATACATGGCAGGACAAAATCTCTAACCCTGATCTTTTCATCAAATGTGGCATTAGTCCTTTCTGATGCAATCACAGTTCAGATGGGCTGGTCATGTCATCAGAATTAGTGATGATTGGATGCCGAAAATCCTCATGTATAGCCAACTTTTTCATGGTAAGCGTAACATAGGTCATCCTTGGTTATGTTTTAAGGACAAACTTAAATACAATTTAAATGCTGCAAACATAGGTATATAGAGGAGTTTGAACTTGATGTTGAAAACTGAGCAAAATGGAGAAACACCTGCTACCAAAGTATAACTAACTTTGAAAAGAATTGTCTCAACTATCTGAGAGAATTAAGAATTAACACTAAATCTTGGTCTAATACATCAGCCTATATGATGGTCAACCCTTCAGTATGCCCTTCATGTGGATTTGTTTGCAAATCCCATGCAGGATTGTTGTCATATGAAACATGAACATAAAAACTGAAGTGAAAGACATGTCAAATGATGGGAGAGTCTATCATCATCCTATAATATATATATATATATATATATATATATATATATATATATATATATATATATATATATAATAGCATCTGTATGTATAACAGTAATTTTTGGAATTTTGATCTAAAGTTTACATTCTATCACTATGAGCAATATTTATCATTCAATTAAGTGCATGACATGTAATGAGATTATATTCAGAAAATATTTGTTGTACAAAATGAAACCTTTTTTTATAATTATGTAGATCTATTGTGGATATACATGAAGGGGCAATGAAAACTTCTTGACCCAATGCAGAATACTTTCTACCCAAATTTTATTTTGAAAAGTTGGTCAAGCTGAGAATTTTTCAGCATCTCTTTCTCTGTGTGTGAGTGCGTTTATGTGTGTGTATCATTCTCTAGCTATATATCCAAATATGTTTAATTATGTTCAACTGGCATGGTCTGTATCATTTTTTTGTAGTTTTCCAATTTTGAATAAGAATGTGGTATATCAGGAAATTGTGGATAAACTGTTCAAAGTTCATTATTATTCTGTTCTGTTTCAGCAATGAATCTTAATACATCTTATTGGAAAAATCTAATAAAAAGTTAAACACACAGATCTTGTTGAATCTAATAAAACTTGTTTGAATAAGTACTTGCTACCATTTTTTATCTCTCTCTCTCATATATATATATATATATAGACAATGAATGTCTATTATGTCTGACCATAAGCCATTCTAATGTTCAAATGTTTGCTTTAATTTCTGGTTTCTGGTGAAAATAAAGACACAAATGCCACAATATTTTGACATAGAAGATTGCTATTCCGTGACTGTCAACATGTCAGAATAACAAAATATCATATTTGATGGTGGATGTCTTTGTTTAATGTCTGTATAACCACTCTGAGGATGGCTCATGTGAGCTGAAAGCTTAGGACCAACTTAATAAAAAAAAATATCCAAATGTTGAGCAGTTTTTGTCTTTATTTTCACCAGAAATTAAAGCAAACATTTGAACATTCGATCGGCTTGTGATCAGGCATAATAGACGTTCATTGTCTGTTATATTTAATAATATGTGTTTAAATAATTATTATCTGCCCCAATACACACACTATATATATATATATATATATATATATATATATATATATATATATATATATATATATATATAAATGTGTGTGTGTGTGTGTGTGTGCATGTATGCAGAAAAATAGGAAAGAACACGTTAGGTAAATAATCCGGAGTTCCTTAGTATTTTTTGTTTTTTTTTAAGAAGACAGTGCTCCATACAGAAGTAGAGCTTATATTATAATAATTTTTTTTTTTTAAAATATTATTTCTTAACTACATAAGAGTTCTCATGTTTCAAAAACGAGAGCCAAAACCGTCAATATAATTATTAAAATTAAATTGAATTAAGGTGTCAAGTCCCGTTTCATCCTCAAGCGAAAATTTAGGAATAAACTATCTTGTGGTTTGTGCGTATTTATAAGTATGGTCCATTGCAACATTAATTACTATGGAAATTGCTGGGCCGGCCATGTTGGTCAGGTGGTCAGACAGTTAATTCCTATCTACAAATTTGTCACCTTCGGAAAGGTTATGTCAAGGTAGAGTGGGGTATCTATTTCAAAGCTAATGGTGGCGGTCATCGTCTACTTAGTTTACAGCGAATGATATTTCATGGTGCGATGGTTTTATTATTATTTATCTGTTAATCTCTTTATTTGTTTATTCAAATGGCTGTTTTGTATACAAACGTGTAGCACTGAACTACAATTTGTTTTTTGGCGACTTCACAAAGGATTTTTTTTTTATTTAATGATTTGGCTAAGCTTTTAATACTTTTATTAAACTATGGAATTTATTTATTTATCTATTTTCTTTTTTTTTTTTTTTTTTTAATGCTAATTATTTAATGCGAAAATTTGTTGATGTCGGCAAAAAAACGTTAACTCCTGCCTATGGTTTAATAACTTTTCATTATTTAGAAACTTAATGATGTGTAGTTTTTCGTGTAGGCATAAAGGGCATGGTTCATCCCAGGTGGTTTTACAAGTTCTTGTTCTATTTATTATTTTTCATTTTACTTTTGGTGTTTTATTCATTTCTTTTAGATGCCAGAAATATTGGGATAGAGATGTCTGATTTCTATTTTGAATATTGTTGAAGGAGCTCTTGTGTTGCCTCCATCTAATTTTAAATTTAGTCTTCGTTGACCCTATGTATATCCTATCAGTGTTAGGACTCTCAATGGATGAGATAGTGCAGTGGTATACCACGGATTTTGTGAGGCATTTATTTTCCAACGGGCAGTCTTTAGGGTTTCTACAATCACATAATTTTTTGTTATTTTTATCTAATTTCAGTTTAGTAGCTTTATTACTGTTTTGACATGCATGTTTTTCAGGATTTTATTATTATGTCTTTTTATGATTCTTTCTAGATTTTCAGCGCAGCTGTAACTTAATTTTAAGGTGTTTTTATTAAAGATCTCGCTAAGTTTTCTATTAGTGGGAAAGTGTTTTTCAACTAAAGCTAGGAACTTATGCCCTAGTTTGGTACTGACCATTTGGTTGAATGGAGGGGTATACCAGATGATCTTTCTTTTCCTATTTTTCTTATTATTAGTACTATTGTTTTTATAGCTTATGTCAGTGTTTTTGTATCTGCTATTTTTCAGGGCTGTGTTATAAAAATTACTGTGTTGTTGGAATATTTCCCTATTAGCTGAGTTCATGCTAATTCTTTTCTCTATTGATGTGGGTACATGCTTAATTATAGATGGAGAGTGGTTTGACTTAGGGTTGTTGGTCTATTTTTACTGTACAATCTAACTGTGCACCGTGAATTAGACATTAAGGACATTGGGCTACACAGAGATGATGGGCTCATGGTAGTGAGGAGCTTCACAAATTTTAAAACAGATAAAATTAGAAAGATAATTTATAGTGAATTCGGAAAACTAAATTTAAAAACAGTAGTCAACACTAAATTAAAAAGAGTAAACTTCCTAGACGTAAAAATATGATGGTAGTGAAGGAATTATATTTTAAAAAAACAATATAATATATATGACAATAGGAAAACTGTAATTGTTGCTGACACGTTTCGTCCAATGTGGACTTTCTCAAGGCAAAAAACGAAATGAATTTATTTTAACAAAGTAACTAATAATAACAAAACAAAACATCCTTAGCAACTGGAAGAATTTAGAGAATGCTATTTTCATACTGTTTAACTGAAAATTATGTCAATTACTGTCATGTGTGGAGATATTGTTATTATTGCTGTGTTGATGAAAATGGTTAAATCTAACCATTTTCTTTTGATTTCACGATACTGTTGTGTACATTTGTTTGGGAGAGTAGTAATTCTGTTAAGAAAGGTGAAATAGGGAAAAAGTCTGGGCATAGATTAATATTTGGGTAATATTCAATGGCGGCACCCTCGAGGATTTTCCTTCTGAATCAGTTATCTTCTTTTTTTATGAGTGTAGCATTTTTAAAATCAAAATTGTGGTTGAAATTATTTCTATGTATGTGCTAAGTTGTTTTTTGTGAGGTATCTTTTGTGCTTTATGCATTTTTAAAAATTTCTACTTGTTTCTCCAATATATATAAATATATATATATTAATCTACGCTATTGATATTTATATGTAAAATAAGAAGAGATTCTTAATTGAAATGTGTAAAGAGATTTTTGTCCTTTTATTTTTTGTTTAATTCAGGTAAACAAAAACAACAAAACTTCTGATCGTTCGATTGTGATTACAAACCAACACATTTACAAATTGGATCCAAAGAAAAAATTCAAATTAATGAGACCAGGCACTTCATTTTTGGATGTAAGCACTTTTATTATTATTATTATTATTATTATTTGATGTTTCAGGTGTTTGGAAAAGCTGTTCTTTTATGAAGAAAGTTCCACTCAGACAGCTGCCCCATCACCGTCCCAAGAACTAGGATTTTGTGGAACAGATATCCATTTGGATGCTTCCATGAGCACTTCAATGTTGACCTCTTTAAATCAAGGGTCAATTGTTATCTTTTGTCCTTATTCTCATAATTGTCACTTTCTACCACCTACTCTTTCATTCATATCTCACACTTTATTCATCTATACTATTTCAGAGGTGACCATCTATCAATGTCAAGTTGCTTTTGAGCTTTGTATTGGGTGAAATTTCATAATAAAGAAGAAGTCCCCAGCTTTTTGATTTTAAATATAATTGTAGTTTAATTACAAAATGTACAAATGTCATCATATAGTATTAAATTTTGCAAGCCTTTTTTAGTTAGCAAGTCTTTGTGGCTATGTTTAGTGACCACTTCATTTTACAAAAATTAGTCTGGGTCACATCTGTCTCTGTTTTTTTAACAGGAGTAGAGATTTATCCTTTGTTCCCTGTTTAGGGTTGGGTTTCTGGTCCCTTCTAAAGTCTTTCAACTCTATATGTCTAACACCTCCACCTAAATATTTCTTATTCCCTACTCTTTTGAACAAGAGTAGAAGTTTATCCTTGTTTGCCTGTTTCATTCCTAGTAGACCCTTGCATCTTAGTGGTATTTATCACTTTACATGGGGTGAATTGATTAAAAAAAATATTCTCTTTAGGAGTGAAAAACTTGAGGATAACTCATACCTTTGGAAAAATGTCTGCTTTAAAATTAGTCTGTATTTTCTTTTTTTTTCTATTGATTTTACTCTTGATATTTTTACTAAATTCTACCAGTTTCTGATTTCCTAGAATCTGGAGTCATGACAACCACCACTTGTCTCTGTCCTTTGTGGCTTTTTCATTATTATTTACTTATCTTTATTTTTTTTTTTTATAAGGAGATGCTGAAAAGTTCTCGGTCCAAATCACTTCCCAATCATTTGACCAAAGATGAGATTTTTTTTTTCAATAGAACCTTTCAAAAAGTTTCTCATATTTATAATTTTTTGTTCTTTTATTCTAATTATTTAAATGTAATAAGTTACTTTCAGTGTTAATGGTCTCATGAGAATATAAATAAGATAATGATATTTTTTGTATATAAAGAACAATATTGGAGGAAAGCGTATGACAAAGTGGAGAAAGTTTTCTTGTGAAGAAATAAATACTAGAAAGCCTTTTCCACTTTGCCATACACTAACATTATATATATATATATAATATATATATATATATATATATATATATATATATAAATAAACATCAAAGTGTTAACAAAATAAGCCATTTTTTCAAATATTGATTACCTACAAACATTTAACTTAGAAATATTACAAAAAGAATTTAATGATTAATTTTATATCTTTAATATCTGCATGAAGCTTAATATGAAGCTTCTTAGTTCTGTCTACTATATTTAGACTGTAAGAACTTTAGAAATTTGGGCTGGAAAAGTGCCACCTCTGATGTAAAAACAGTATTGTTTAGAAATTATTATTTTTTGAGAGATTGCATCTCCAATATAAATAATCAAAAAACAGCAGAAGGAAGTCAGACATTATATAGCATTCCAACACTCCTTTCTTTGTTTTTAATGTATCACTTAAAAGCCTGTTTAATTTCTTAAAAGCATCTTTCATTCTCATGTGCTTTTGGATTTTCTGGTATGTTTCAACATTATTTCATATACTTGAATTTCCAAACCATTCATTAGCTAATGCTGAAAAAATTCACAATTTAACCCACATCCCCAAATTGGTATTCTGATGTTCAATGATTGAAATACTGATTCTAGGAAGGAACAAGACGCACAAAAAAGAGGTGCTGAAAATTTCTCATTTTTCAGTACCATGTTTTATATACTGTCTGTGTCTGAAGTCCCCTCAGAAAATTATTTAACTCCATTTTTATTTATTTCTTATAGAAAAGTGAGGTTCAAAATGTTAGAGAATGCTTTCATCCATTACGATGATGTGATGAAATTGTAGAAAGAATAAAGTTGTATTTGTTCTATTTGTAATTCATGTTTTTATTTTTATTTTGTCAGTTGACTGGTTTGAGTGTGACTCCTGATTCAGACCAACTCATCATTCTTCACTTGAAAGGAGGAAATGATTTGGTCATCTGTCTGCTGAGTGGTTCCAGGGAAGAACGCGTTGGCGAAGCTCATTGGAACCATCTGCAAGCAGTGGCATAAGTAAGCTGCTTCTTTCTTTCTAACAATAACTACGTATAAATGAAAGTCGCGAAAAGTGTATTCTATTTCAGAATTTTTGAATGAGTCTGTTAGATTTTGAGACATGATGGTGAAATGAAACATCACTATTATTAGCAGTAAAAATCCACAGTCTTATTTCAGTTTCAATCAGATTTTAGAATTTAAAAATTGCTATCTACATCAACACATTTTAAATTTTTCATATGTATATGCACATATATGAAATCTGACTGGAACCTATCTCGCTATTTTGAATATATTGAGAACCATTTGTCCAATCAGAACAGACCTTACTCTAAATTTGAACAGACACTCTCTTATGAGTAGTGAACTTGTATACCATGTGACTGTCACATTCACAATATCTGAGCAATTAGATTTTTCAAATTTTGTGCAGAATTTTGACAAAGATCTGACTACCATTTCTGCTACAGTTCAAATTTGGTTCCCTGTAACTTTTTCATAGAACATAATCTTTCAGTATTGGCTTTTATAGTACCATGTGATATATTGGTTTGGTAATAGTGTTTTGTTTTTTTTTCTTAAAAATGACAATATTTCAATATTTGTATATAGATTTATTCAGCTACATATGTGGGATTTTGTAGCACTACCTTTTGTCATTTTGAGGTAGCTTCATGATACCATCCTCCAAGAATTTGCCATCTTTCTGGGTGATGAACTGGTTGGTCAAGAGAAATGACCAAAAATTCTGGTAGCAGTACAGGTGGGTATAGATTATTGTGGGTCGTCATGGATGTGGACTTGCTGACCTATGACATATGACCTTTCATTTTACATCTGTGGTATTTAATACTTCAGGCAATGTGGTTGATGTGAGTAGGCAAATATTGAATAAATTTAAAAACCTTAGAAAAATAGAATTGAAAAATAGAATTGAAAAAATAAAACTTTAATGATTTTAGTAGCCCTAAATGAAACATTTTTAAAGTTTTTTCTGTTTTTTTTTTTTCAATATTTGTTATTCTTCTTTCTTAATGAAAGTAGGTATGAATTACATATGATTACTTATGTTTATTGTTTTGATTTATTTTTCAGAATGATGAATCAGGATTTGAAAGTGATTGTTGCTAAACAATTGAAATGCATGCTTGGAGATAAACAGAGAACTATTATAGTTCGAATGTCTCCAAACAATGAAAAGGATCCGGAATTTCGCAAAGAGAACATGGGATTGGCATTGATGTGGCCAACTACAACGAATCATAACAATCCTGTTATCAAGTCTTGATGATTTGATGCTGAGCAACTTCTTAAAAATTTGAAAGGAAAAGAAAGAAGAACTCAAAAAAAAAAAAAAAAAAAAAAAAATTGTGGCACAAAGATATTTTTGCTTAAAGATATGAAGTTTTATTGATGTTAATTTGTAAGTTCCTCAGACTAACAACATCATCTTTGCAAACAAAATTCTTCAACATTTTGATGAATTTTACATTGCTTTTCAGGTGTTTTTTTATTGGAGATGGCTGCATGAATGTCTTCTGTTAAGTTTACCACTAGCATAAGAATAACTGCACTTAATTTTAGTATGGTGAGTCAACACCAATTCATTGAATTGTTTTCTTAAATTCTTAACAAAAAAAAACTCTGAATAACCTGTGCTTTCAGGTCATTAATTCACAAATATTTGTTATTCATGAAACAATAATGAGCTTTCTGCTCTTTTTGTATGTAAGCAGATTAGTTTTAAAAATAACAGTTAAAAATTATAACATCTTCCACTATCACTTAAGCAACCTCCTATATATATATATATATATATAAATAAATCAAATATGGATAAAAATCTGACACAATGGTAAGATAATGTTATGCATATATACACAAATATACAAAGATGATGATTTAAGCATTTTGTTAGAGAAATTTTGAGAGCGAATTAACTCTAAATTTCTAAAGTAAATTTAGAATCTAACCATTTTTTACTTGAGTCTTCTGATTTAAATGCTCTATTCACAAAACTAAGCATGTTAGTCCGAAGAACTTACAAAATTAAGTTGGTACTCAGGCAAGGATGAAAGCAAAAGAGGAGGTGGGTTATTCCATCCATTGTTAAGGAAATGAAAAAATGAAATTCCCAAGGAAAGTTAACCTTAAAAATTCTAAAATGGAATTATGTGATTAAAAAAAATAGAAAATTTAACAAGTAATGTTTTGTTTAATATTTTTGGTGAGAAAGTTTTTAAGTCAACAATTTAAAAAAAACAAATTTTTCTAATTGTAAAAATTAAAAAAAAAAAAAAAAAAAAGGGAAGGAACACAAGGAAAGTTTATCTCTCTCTGTTCTTCTATCTTTCTATCTATATATCTATAGATATAATCATCTAGCTATATATATATATATATATATATATATATATATATATATGAGAGAGATAACGGTTATTATTTTAATTAAAAGTTAAAACAATAACTTATACCAATATGTATAGCTTCTATGTTTTATAAACTTTGAATACTGCTATATTGATGAAAAAAATTTCCATTAAAAACATGTTTTTTCTTATGGATTTGTCCAGGTTTCTGATATGTATGATGTTAAGTAAGTTCTAAAAATCAAACATTATCTGTGCATATGTGTGTCTGTTGTAAGGTGTGGCAAAAGAGAAAGAAACCTGGGTCTGCTGATTTTCTCCTGACACTGTTGTGCAGCATCTAGGCATATATCCAGACTCTATTCTATGAACTTATTTTCTAATATATGTGAAATACAATTTGTAATGACATGGTTCTAAGTCAAACGACTGAATTAAATTGAGAAAATATTTGCACAGACCTAAGACATACGTATTGGAAGCAGACAATATTGTGTCATCTCTGGGACATTCTTTATACTTACTGATTCTTGCACCATGCAACTTCTGATTATTCCAAAGGTTTGAAAGTGTCCTCAAAAAAAACTTTTTTTTTTTTTTTTTAACATCAAGACCTGAAGGACTGGATTCCTAAAGAGCTTCAAGGAGGCAAATTTCAAAGGCAGTTTTTAAGGCAAGGTGAGGGAGAGTGTAAAATGCATTGATTACACATAGCATCATTTTGAAATAGACAATAAGTAGTAACTTGTTTTTTCAATAAATCAATTTTTTTGCCACACCTTGTATGCATGTATAGTTTTATATATATATATATATATATATATATATATATATAATGTGTGTGTGTATACATTTGTATGTACTTTTACCAATTGTATCTGAGGTGGTGTCAAGTAAAGAATAATTATTTTTATAGCACAACATAATTAATTAGGCAACATAAATGTTAATGGTCCCAGTATATTTTGACTTTAGTTTTTAAGTTTCTTTTGTAAATTCTTGGTTACAGTAGGCTTATATGAAGAATGTTATATTCTGTGAAATGTAACACAATTGAATTCAATATTCTGTTATCGTTACCAAAGCTGAATTTATTGAAGACTATTTTTCAAATCAAAATCTCAATTAATATCTGAAAGTTGAACTATTTCCTGTAGTATAATCTAATAATTTGTCAATTATATACACGCACAACACTTTATGCCAAAAGTTTGGAAGCCATTCTCTGGATTTAATAATTAAGTTTCATACCGTGTTTTGGTTTAATTAATGCCTACTGAGCTAGAATGCTGAAACTATTTAACTTGTTAGTGCACAGTGTCCAATTTTTTAGATAATACATTACCTAAAATTTAAAATCTGTCAAATTTAAGATTATTATTAGCCACCAAAGTAGATTAGACAAAATGTGTTAAAATTTCAAGGAAACTTTAAGCAGCAATAGGTTAATTTCAATTTTAATATTCAATTTATGATAACATCCTTCAGGAAGAGAATTTCTCTAATCTGAAGTGAACGAGTAGTTTCGAAAAAAGCATGGAACATTCAATTTTTAGGCAGCTCTTCAGGGTTGTCTCAAATCTTTTGGCCTGTAGTGTGTGTGTGTGTGTGTGTGTTGATGTTGACTGTTTTTTTTTTTTTTTTTTAAATTTAATTTTAAAAGGCTTCACCAACTGAATAAATAAGAATAAAAATTAATTAAAGCAAAAAGATATGTAGTTTAGCAAGAAGCATTTGATTATAATAAAATAATTCTTTCAATTTCTATAAGATTTCTTGCATGGAAAACTAGCAAAATATGAAAATAAATTTTAATAATGCATTTTATTAGTCTTTCTATAATTTACATTGAGTTAACATTAATTTAGATTTATCTAAAGTTATTCAACATAAAATTCCTGAGCAATTATGGTGATGTTGATTTCCAATGTTATTAGCTTTAAATGAAGAAAATTTAATTGTTTGTATTTACTAGTTGAGGATTAGTTCTACAGTTCATCATTTGAAATGAAATTGATTAAATATCAAATATGAATGATTGTATTATTTAAGAATTCCGACAAGAAGCAACAGATGGTGATGATGATGGTGATTATTTTATTTGACAAATATCTTTGTAGATTTAACTTCAATATTTCACTTGGTAAACAATTCACTCTGCTTGCTTTAAGCAAATGTTCAAATTGGCTCTGTTCTGTTCTTTGTTAAAAATACCAAAGATGTAGATTATTGTGTAGTGTATAATTATTTCTTAAAAGTAAATAAAAACTTAAAGGTGAAACAAAAGAGTCTGGAATTGAAAAAGGAATTAATACATCAAATCTAAAATTCTCATTTATGTCTTATAAAAAGCCAAAGTTTTTGTTTTGAAGTATTTCTCTTGTGCAAGATTTTAACTCATTAGGTAATGTGGCAAAGTTTGTAAACCTTACCAACCCAGTATTTGTAAAATAAAATTGTTACTAATACAGTACAATCAAGCTCTTCCACAGATATCAAAATTCGAAAAAAATTTGTTTTTAGAAATAGTTATGAAAGATTAGATGTGTCATAAAGTTTAAATTTTCCTTCAAACACTGGAAAGAAAAGCCAATGTCCACTATTAAGAAGTTGAATTATTTGAAAGTCAGTTGTGTCATTAAAGTATTTTTGGTTGATTTTATTGGCAATCAGAGTCCAGTTAAAATGACCAATGATTGCTCAATGTGGGTCATTTTTATTTACTTTTTATTCGTCATGTAATTAAGATCTAGATATTCAAAGAAAATCTGTGTTTAGAATAGAAACTGAGAAATAGACAATGAGATTTCTCTGAATCGCATCTAGGCTGATTTATCTAAAGTATTTCAATTTGCATATTAACAAAACATGAGACATTTCTGTTTATTCTTTCATTTAATACTTTATTTCTGAATAATTGTCTTATAATTTATTTGGGATTTTGTCAAATGATATAGTCTTATATCTATCAAATATATCTTTCAATGATTTGAGAATTATACTGTTTCTCACACACATACACACACTTACAAAGAATTCTTGACTGCCTATTTACCTTCTAAATTATTCAGGGGCAGGTAATCTAGGATAGTGTCTGAATGCAATCCAACAAATCATTAGTTGTAATGGTAAATTAGCCTTACAATGAAATATTTGACATTCAGTGACAGAGCAATCAGTTACTGCTTTTGGTTGAAATTTATAAAATCTTTTTCTTAAAACAATTTTTCAGGAAAATAAGTTTCTCAAGCTCAGTAGCTCTTATCGTTCTTTCCAGTATTGATGGGTGTTGTCCTTCTTAACCTTTTGTTTGAAATAGTGTGGAATGTGAACATCTTGATTATGTCATTATTTTCTCTTCAAGTTACATGTGCCATCCATTTTCATTGTTGTTTTTGTTAGCCTCAAGTGACTCGCTTTCTAATTTTTTTGGTACAGACAGATTAAAGCTGATAATATTTTTTTCTAAATTCACTTTTTAGTTTGTAGATCAAGACATTTTTTTTTTAATTTTGTGTAAAATGTAAGGTTTAATATTTAATCTGTTTTAAAATTAATATTTCAGAAAAAGATTTTGATTATTGCAATCCAGAATAAATAATATTTTTTTAGGTTTTTAGTTCTTTACTTTTCACTAATTTTGTTTTTTGTAGATTTAACTATTTTTTTGTTTTCTGTGTGTTCAGAATTTACAAATAAAGTACTGGTGTAACTTTTCTTAAATCTCATCAAGATAAATTTAGATACCTGATTGGACAATGATCATTCCAGCTGAGGCCAAAACTTTACCATAATCAAATGATGAGGATTTATTTTGAGCAATTTCAATGAATAATGATTATAATTTGCTTAAAAGGTTTTGCTAATATCTTTTGTTAAATTTTAATGTGAAAATTTTCATAAAATAATAATAAAA